CCCCCATATGTTTATTAGTACAATATATCCGTGTACGTATTGATTTTTTGGGGGCGGGATGTTAAAATTTGTTTTAAACTTACCTGCTTCATCCGCCGCAAAAAGAGATGGTGCGTTTTTTTTCCTGTTTAGACAAATTTTCGACGATGAGTCCGCCGTCACCGATTTTAATAATTTTTTTTCAAATATAATTTTAATTTTGTACAGTTAACATTTTTAATTTCCATCGATATCTAGTCTTAATGGGTCATTGAAATATTCATGAATATATATGATCATTTTGCATATTATCAGTTAACGATTAAATATAATGATAATAAGTAAACTGTGCACGTGTTGGAGATCACCTATTCAATTTAATTTTTAACTTAGTAAAAACGATATTGTGGGATTTTACGAGATATAAATAAACACGTCTATATCAAAATATATGAATATTGAATACCATCATTAATACGTTTTACTCTAAAACCAYTAATGTTTAGATTTTTCGAATTATAGAGAAAAAAAGCTCCATACCAACTAAATATAATATTATAAAATACTACTTTAATGTTTTATGTCATAATAATGTTTAATAAACTAATAACCTAAGTTACTCAACATAAATCAACCAATGTTAAAAATTGTTATAATTATTAAATTATTTTATTATATTATTATGCATCGAATGTATTATACTAGCCAGTAGTCACTAGGTAATACATTTATTTTATTAAAAGGTAACTATACAAAAAAAATTATCTGTAGTCTATGACATAAAACAATAATTAATGTGTCAAAAAAAGTGTTAAATAATAATTAATTATGTTGAAATATAGGTATGTACCTATATTATATATATTATATAAAATATACACTATAATAAAAAATTGGTGTTTATTTAGTTGTTAGGTATGGAGCTTTTTTTTCCTATATGCGGCCCTTTTTTTTCTATTACCATTTTTGGTCTATATCACAAAAGCCGTTTTGTTTATAAAAAAAAATATATTTTTAAGGGGGAAAAGTCGTTATAAGTACACCCCCCTTAGTAAATTGTGTGGATGAATAACGAAGTATGTGATATAATGATACTTATGTATTTCACATGTCCAACGGGCAACGATGGTAGTAGGGCGAGAGGAAAATCCCGATTGTTTGTATTCGAGGAAGTCGAACGTGCTCCTCCCTCGCGGGTGACGCGGGGAGAAATGTATACACCGAGGGTCGAAAAATTTCGCAACGCTACCCTACTTACTGGTGTATTATTCTCCTGATGCCCCACGTAAGTTGTAGTTTTTGTTTATATAACGTTGGATAAAAATTTTATTYCGATTCACCCAACCGAGTATCGATCGAGGCTTGGAGAAAACGTGTAATTATTAGGTGTAATTTATCAGAATTATAAAACGTGTTTGGGAAGTATTTTTAAATGAATAATTTAAGATTGTTACCTAGACGAAACGGAATGACGTCTTTTGACCGAGATTAGCAATAGTTTACTTTGTTTCCGTTTCTGGAATATCATCGACATATAGCGTCCACTTAGGCATTATATTCAATAGGTTTAATAAAAAAAAATATTAAATTATAACCAAATACGACGGATTTTTAATTCAATGGAGTTTATTGATCGACGCGTAGTGTACATACAATGATATTGTATTCATMGGTCTCTAAAAATTATCATTAGAAACCATTTTTCTTGTCTAGGTAAATTTATCCTGGTCTTTATCTACCTATGTATGGTTTATTTTACTTTAACATTGGTATGTCTAATAAAAGGCAAAACACATACCTAATATGGTTCTGCTATAGAACTACCATGTATGTTTATAACCCTTAGATAACATTTTGGGTTTAATGGGTTTATCGTCCTAATTTATTTTAATTTTGTATAATACACACGATGTCAGTGCTGAATTATCTTAAAAGCTCGCTTAAAAGTGAATCTAAAAATGTTTATGATTTAATCTATTAAATAATTATCTGTGTTAACTTCTGCAAAACAGATACCTACCTATTTTAATTAATATTACATTTCAAGCTATAATTTATTAGACTGTTCTCTATTTCTGTATTTATTATTTAATGATGTGTTAAATGTTTTTTTCAGAATATTGCCTACTTTGATTCCATATTTTAAAAATAAGCATAATGTCTGACGACGGAGTTGTTGCAGAAAAGAGGAATCGTGGAAGAGCCCCAAAACTGAATGATGTATGTTCTGTTGAAAGACTTGCATAATGTATACTTGTACTAGACAATTATTAACTAAATATGTGGTAAATTGTAGGTAAACGACAAAGACTCTAAAGAAACTAAAAAACGAGGCAGACCAGCAAGCAAAGTACCAGCTAAAGCTGATAAGAAAATTGAAAAAGAAGTCGAAAATGGTGAACCAGCTGCTAAAAGAGGTCGTGGAAGACCAAAGAAGGGTCCAAAAAAGGCTAAAGTAAGTTTAAAAATTTTTGTAATATGTTTTACGTTCTGATCATTTGCTAATAAATGTATTCGTATTACAGGCTCCATTGTCAGGAAGAGGACGAGGCAGACCACCAACAAAAAAGGTAGAGAAAGAAGAATCTGCAGAAGAAAATGATGATGAAGAAGAGGTAGAGGATGAAGATTAAATTCAAATTGTATCTCATACTATATACTTCGCCATTAATATTACATTTATTTAATAAGGATCAAGAATAATTTTAATTTTTAATTTATTGATTTCGGAACAATTTATAGGCTTAGAATAGGTTTATAATTATTTTGTTCTATTTCGTGATTTAAAAAGAATTAACAATTAATTGGTAAACATTGTTTTTTCAAAAAGAAACATTTTAAGAAGAAAAAAACATAAAAAATGTAATGCATTTATATTGTGTCAACTGTATGATTGTTAATCCAATTTTTCATTTGTCATAAATATGATTTATTTTATTTAATGTTTGCATAGATAGTAGCCTACCCTACAATTATTGAAAGTAATTTTGACTACTTTTTATACATATATTTATATTATTTTTTTTTTTTTTATCATTTTCTATTTGTCTAATTTCTACCATTATATTTATACTATAAAAACAGATTTAAACATTCTTAATATTTATTGGTGTGTACATTCTGAGTTACTCTTTCATTGCATTAATAACGGACTTATGAATTATATAATCTGTATAGATTTGTACTTACCTACTTACGTATAATATTTAAAAATGACTATTGTACCTGAAAGTATTGTGCAAATAATAAAATAATGTAGGACTTATAATTGAGTAATCTAATTTAAATTTTTGTGAATTAGAAATAAACATAAAATAACATTTTGTTTAAATAAAAGTTCACTGTACTTTCTCTTAACTCTTAAGTATACTGTCTACGTACAGAATTATTAAGTCTTGGTCACAAATGAGTTGTATCATCTAAATTATTTGGGTTATTTAGTGTTATGTTATTAACATGACTCAACATAACTTTTAAATTCAAAGCTCAGAGTTTTAAAAACAATTGAATTCTTTGAAGGTAGTTTTATTAAGAAAGTATAAAATCTTAAGGTTAACAAAGTTCATTATGTAAAAATCAGGTATTTAGATGCATAAAATTAAAATTATTGAACATAATGTCTGTTAATGTACTCAATCTTCTCTCAAAATATCAACTCAATTTGATTCAATATGTGTGTTTAATTTATTGCTTAATACCCAGCTTGTCATGTTCAAAACTCATGACAAATTCCAGTGGATTTTAGCACATTGTAGTACAATCTTAATCTTCATTAAAGATTTCTAACATTGGCATATAAAATACAGGACTAAAATTATATTCAGTCATATTTTCTTGCACTTTTAGCTTAATAAAGGTGAAACAATTTTTAAAATTATTACCTAATAACAAATTGTCAATTTCTAATTCATCCATATTAAATTGTTACAACCCTATAATAAACAAAAAAAAAATAAATATATTTATATTTATTATTATTTATTTTTCTATAAAAAAATCTTAAATTTGCAATAAAAGTATGAAGGAAGGGCCCCCTATCAAGATAAAATATAGGTATAGGTCAACATATCCATGTGATAGTGTAGCTTTCTGATGGTAAGAAAAAAAAATTAATTGGTTTAATACTCGTAGTTCTAGAATTTAAATAACCGAACAAATAGACGATTTTTTAAATTTAGCGGTAGGTAAATAATAAAATATACTATTTTTTTTATCAAACCATGATATAAATCTTTAATTTAAACTTTTTAATGAATTTTCTTAGGTAGTAATTAAATTCAATAACTATAAATTAATATTATAATATTCAGTGAAAACCCTAACGAAAAGTGAGGTAAAATAAAAATTAATGAATTTATAAGTAGAAATAATTTATTAATTTTCGTGATTTTGATGAATTTTGTCAAAATTTTTACTTCAGATGCTTGTGGATTGACACATTTTTTTTCTGCGGATTGACATATTATGAGGAATGTTTTGTTATTTACATTTTCTAGTTTTTTGACCGATGGAAGGTCAAAATTGAAGTTTTTTACTGTAAACCATAGCCGCGCATGGAAATTCCGTACAAAAAAAAAACAAATACAGGTAACAAAAGTACATGTAAATTCCGCCCAAAAAATTTTTTGAATTTGTTGACTGGTTGTATTTTGTTTTCTAGGTATTATAAATATATATTTCACATAATAAGTCAATAATTACTACATAAGTCATGTACATAAATATATATTTTAAATCAATCAAATTTTAATTATTTCCATATTATTTTTCGGTTTTATATATTTCATCACACTTTACTACTGTTTGAACATACCTATAACACGATTGTAATAAATGAAAGCGACAACCATAAATTTGAATATTTGGCGAGATGGATTTACATGCTTATAGCTTTTTCGTAGTCAATGACAACATTTCTTTGGCTCAAACAAGTACCTAATTATTATGAATACAAAGATCAACTATTAATTTAAAACACCGCAAATATTATTATATTTTGAGTTTTTGCTTTTAATAAACAAAAGATTAAAGGTATATGATGGCCATTAAAATAGCCATGTATAGATGACGCATAGTAAACAGCTGTAAAAAATTTATAACTATATTCAAATGTACCATCCATTCTGCAGTTGACAAGGCCGGCTCAAGGCACGTGCATACGGTGCATTACCACCGGGCGACAATTTTAAATGGGTAATTAGGGGCGGCAAAAATATTATGGATTTATTGTTTTTTTAGTTATTATTTATATAATACCTATTAATAAATATAATACAAATTACTGCATGGCGATCACCGCTCGTATATCACTATCACAACGATATTTTAAACCTCGCATGTTTATCTCGGACGACTGACGAGCAATGGGCATAGGTACGGAATACGGCGGAATTGCCAGAATTATTTTCGTCATTTTCATCATCTATAGGTATTATGACGAAGCCATTAAGTGAAACAAGATGGGAGAGTAGAATTGACGCCCTTAAGCGGCATAAGCCTTTTCATCACAGTGGCGCACACCCTTTAGCCACCCACCCACTCAATTTTTTATTTATAACAAATATTTTCACTTATTATTCACTGTAATTCAAAGAAATCAATTAGTATAGACTATAGTTTATGTTATAAATTTTTTTATTTCCCTGTGAAACCTGCAGTAGTACACACCCACACCCCTCGAGAACACATGCAGTTGCATTCCTTGCTAACCTGTCTGGGCGTCATTGCTTTTCGACATAACGTAGACCAGTGGTCTTCAACCTTTTTGGACTTGCGACCCACATTTTTAGGCCTACATTTTTCGCGACCCACGGAAGCTTTATAAAAAATCGCAAATTGCTTAATGCTTTGCAATAGTACTATTAAAACTGAATAAATAAAAATTACATTTTAATAGGTAGAATGTTATTATTAATTGAAAATGTATAGAATTCATATGAAAATATAAAATAAAATGAAAATATGATACAAAAAATTTAATGTGAACTTTGTCCTTGAGTGTTTTCACATAATAAATTCCATCTTGGCTCAATTTGACTAAGCGCGATCCGTAAATCATCTTCAGTTTCAAGTCTGTTTCTCTTTGATGTTTTCAAATTTGCCATAGTAGAAAACGCCTTTTCACATAAATATGTAGATGGAAATATTAATAAAATTGAGATGGCTTTAGTTGCTAATTCTGCAATGTTGCGTTGATGAACAAAAACAAAACGTCGTAGACGAAAGTTATATATCTACAGGGTGTAACAGATAGAACTGACTTTTAGAATAACTTTTGTTCTAATTAATATTTTTAAATTTTTTTTTTTGTTTATGATTAAGAGATCCTTCAGCTACACGTACAATATAAAAAAATTTAAATTTGATTAAATTTTTGTTGGAAAAATTCAAAATAGCCAATTTGTAAATTTA